CAGGTGGAACCGGTTGTGGTCGCTGGTGCCTACAAGGGGCAGGAACAGGCAGGGCTGTGGTGAGGAGCATGGGGGGGGACAGGGAGGGACCCCTTAGGGTTGGGCTGGGGGGTTCGGGGTCACCCTCGATGCCGTAGATCTTGGCCTGCAGCTCATGGAAGAGCCCCCGGAGCTTCTCGAAGTCGTCCAGGACCTTCACGTACTCGGTGCTGGGCTGGGACGCGAACTGGCTCAGGTAGAGGCGCGTGTCGGGGCTGTTGAAGTTGTTGCCCACCTGCGGCGGTGCAGCCGTGGGTCCAGGCGCTGCCGGGGGGGCTCCGGCACCGGCACCAGCACCAGGGACAGGGCCTGAGGGGTCCTGGCCAATCAGGTACAGGCAGGGGGTGCAGGCGCAGGTACAGGCACAGGAACAGGCAGAGGGTAGAGGCAGCACAGGTACAGGCACAGGTACAGGCAGAAGGTACAGGCACAGATACAGGCAGCACTGGACAGGCAGCACAGGCACAGGTACAGGCAGAAGGTACAGGCACAGATACAGGCAGCACTGGACAGGCAGCACAGGCACAGGTACAGGCAGAGATACAGGCACAGGTACAGGCAGCACTGGCACAGGCAGCACAGGTACAGGCACAGGTACAGGCAGAGGGTAGAGGCAGCACAGGTACAGGCACAGGTACAGGCGCAGATACAGGCACAGGTACAGGCAGAGGGTAGAGGCAGAGGGTACAGGTGCAGATAAAGGCACAGGAACAGGCAGAGGGTAGAGGCAGAGGGTACAGGTGCAGATACAGGCACAGGTACAGGCACAGGTACAGGCAGGTACAGGCAGAGGGTACAGGCAGCACAGATACAGGCACAAGTACAGGCAGCACAGGTACAGGCACAAGAACAGGCAGAGGGTAGAGGCAGAGGGTACAGGTGCAGGTAGAGGCAGAGGGTACAGGTGCAGATACAGGCACAGGTACAGGCAGCACAGGTACATGCACAGGTACAGGCAGAGGGTACAGGCGCAGATACAGGTACAGGCAGCACAGGTACAGGCGCAGATACAGGTACAGGCAGAGGGTACAGGCGCAGATACAGGTACAGGCAGCACAGGTACAGGCAGCACAGGTACAGGCAGCACAGGTACAGGCACAGGTATAGGCAGGTACAGGCACAGGTACAGGCACAGGTATAGGTAGGTGCAGGCAGAGGGTACAGGCAGCACAGGTACAGACACAGGTATAGGCAGGTACAGGCAGCGGGTACAGGCAGCACAGGCACAGGTACAGGCACAGGTACAGGCAGCACAGGTACAGGCAGCGGGTACAGGCAGCACAGGCACAGGTAGCACAGGCACAGGTACAGGCAGCGCAGGTACAGGCACAGGTACAGGCAGCACAGGTACAGGCAGCACAGGTACAGGCAGCACAGGCACAGGTAGAGGCCCAGGCAGAGGCGGGGCTCACGCCGATGATGTAGCGGATGATGTCATTCTTCTCCGCCTCCTGCACGCTGCCCTGGTCCACATCGGTGGCGTCGCCGTCGGTGATGATGATCAGAACCCGCCGGGCCCCGGGGCGAGCCCCCGCCGCGGGCGTGAAGATCCGGTTCCTGTGGGGCAGAGAGGGGGGGCTGAGCGGGGGCTAAGGGGTAGGTGTGGGTCACTATGGGGCAAGTGTTGGTCACTAGGAGGCAGTTGTGGGTCACTAAGGGGCGGGGTGAGGGTCACTATGGGGCAGATATAGGTCACTATGGGGCAGGTGTGGGTCGCTGTGTGTTGCTATGGGACAGATGTGGGTCATGATGGGGCAGGTGTGGTTCACTGTGGGTCGCTATGGGGCAGGTGTGGGTCACTGTGGGTCACTATGGGGCAGGTGTGGGCTGCTGTGGGTTGCTTTGGGGCAGGTGTGGGTCGCTATGGTGCAGGTGTGGGTTGCTGTGAGATGCTATGGGACAGGTGTGGTTAGCTATGGGGCAGGTGTGGGTCACTGTGGGTCACTATGGGGCAGGTGTGGGTCACTACGGGGCAGGTGTGGTTCACTGTGGGTCACTATGGGGCAGGTGTGGGTCACTGTAGGTCGCTATGAGGCAGCTGTGGTTCACTGTGGGTCACTATGGGGCAGGTGAGGGTTGCTGTGGGTCGCTTTGGGGCAGGTGTGGGTCGCTATGGAGCAGGTGTTGGCTGCTATGGGGCAGGTGTCGTTAGCTATGGTGCAGGTGTGGGTCACTGTGGGTCACTATGGGGCAGGTGTTGGTTGCTATGGGGCAGGTGTGGGTCACTATGGGGCAGGTGTGGGTTGCTGTGGGTCGCTATGGTGCAGGTGTGGGACAGTGTGGGCCGCTATGGGGCAGGTGTGGGTGTGGGTCACTATGGGGCACATGTGGGTCAGTGTGGGCCGCTATGGGGCAGGTGTGGGTCAGTGTGGGCCACTATGGGGCAGGTGTGGGTCAGTGTGGGTCGCTGTGGGGCAGGTGTGGGTCAGTGCGGGTCACTATGGGGCACATGTGGGTCAGTGTGGGCCGCTATGGGGCAGGTGTGGGTCACTGCGGGTCGCTAGGGGGCAGCTGTGGGTCGCTACGGTGCAGGTGTGGGTCACTGTGGTTTGCTATGGGGCAGGTGTGGGTCGCTGTGGGTCACTATGGTGCAGGTGTGGGTCAGTGTGGGTCGCTATGGGGCAGGTGTGGGTCAGTGTGGGTCGCTATGGGGCAGGTGTGGGTCAGTGTGGGTCGCTGTGGGGCAGGTGTGGGTCAGTGTGGGTCGCTGTGGGGCAGGTGTGGGTCGCTGTGGGGCAGGTGTGGGTCAGTGTGGGTCGCTGTGGGGCAGGTGTGGGTCAGTGTGGGTCGCTGTGGGTCAGTGTGGGTCGCTATGGGGCAGGTGTGGGTCAGTGTGGGTCGCTGTGGGGCAGGTGTGGGTCAGTGTGGGTCGCTGTGGGTCAGTGTGGGTCAGTGTGGGTCGCTGTGGGGCAGGTGTGGGGCGCTGTGGGTCGCTATGGGGCAGGTGTGGGTCGCTGTGGGTCAGTGTGGGTCGCTGTGGGGCAGGTGTGGGGCGCTGTGGGTCGCTGTGGGTCGCTGTGGGTCGCTGTGGGTCAGTGTGGGTCGCTGTGGGGCAGGTGTGGGTCGCTGTGGGGCAGGTGTAGGTCAGTGTGGGTCGCTATGGTTCAGGTGTGGGTCGCTGTGGGGCAGGTGTGGGTCGCTATGGGGCAGGTGTGGGTCGCTGTGGGGCAGGTGCGGGTCAGTGTGGGTCACTGTGGGTCAGTGTGGGTCGCTGTGGGGCAGGTGTGGGTCAGTGTGGGTCGCTGTGGGTCAGTGTGGGTCGCTATGGGGCAGGTGTGGGTCGCTGTGGGGCAGGTGTGGGTCGCTATGGGTCAGTGTGGGTCGCTATGGGGCAGGTGTGGGTCGCTGTGGGGCAGGTGTGGGTCGCTGTGGGGCAGGTGTGGGTCGCTGTGGGGCATGTCACGGTCGCTGTGGGGCAGGTGTGGGTCGCTGTGGGGCAGGTGTGGGTCACTGTGGGCCGCTATGGGGCACATGTGGGTCAGTGTGGGTCGCTATGGGGCAGGTGTGGGCCGCTGTGGGGCAGGTGTGGGTCGCTATGGGGCAGGTGTGGGCCGCTGTGGGGCAGGTGTGGGTCGCTATGGGGCAGGTGTGGGTCACTGTGGGCCGCTATGGGGCACATGTGGGTCAGTGTGGGTCGCTATGGGTCAGTGTGGGTCGCTGTGGGGCAGGTGTGGGTCAGTGTGGGTCGCTGTGGGGCAGACTCACGTGACGTAGGCGATGGCTTTGAAGGTGTCCGTGAGGTGGCCGAGCTGGCGCAGGCCCCGCAGCAGCTCCCGCGGTTGGGGCCGAGCCGCGTACTCGGCCAGCGAGAACTGGGGCTGGACCTCGGTGGAGAACTGCACGGCCCCGAACTGCAGCGGGGGTCAGCGCCTGCCCCACAGCCGGGCCCACACAGCCCCCCGGGCCCAGAGAGCCCATAGAGCCCCATAGGTTCCATAGAGCCCATAGAGCCCCATAGGTTCCATAGAGCCCATAGACCCCATAGGTTCCATAGAGCCCATAGACCCCCATAGGTTCCATAGAGCCCACAGACCCCTATAGGTTCCATAGAGCCCATAGACCCCCATAGGTTCCATAGAGCCCATGGACCCCCATAGGTTCCATAGACCCCATAGACCCCCATAGGTTCCATAGAGCCCACGGACCCCTATAGGTTCCACAGACCCCATAGACCCCTATAGGTTTCATAGAGCCCACAGACTCCTATAGGTTCCACAGACCCCATAGGGGTGACCCCCATAGACCTTATGGGGCATAGGGGGGGTCCATGGGGTCCATGGGGCCCCATGGACCCCATGAATGGGGCAGGGGGGGTCCATGGGGTCCTTATGGGGATGGGGGGTCATAGACCCCCATAGGGGCTGGGGGGGTCCATAGACACCCCATGGGGGGTCCACGGGACCTTAAACCCTGGGGGGGACATGGGGTCCCTATGGGGAACCCCATAGACCCCTTATGGGGATGGGGGGGTCCATAAACCTCCTTATGGGGATGGGGGGTCCATGGGGTCCTTATGGGGCTGGGGGGGTCCATGGGGTCTGTATGGGGATGGGGGGGTCCATGGGGTCCTGATGGGGCTGGAGGGGGGTCCATGGGGTCCTTAGGGGGATGGGGGGTCCATGGGGTCCTTAGGGATATGGGGGGGTCCATGGGGGGGGATGGGGCCCACGTGGATGGGGCTCCATGGGGCTGGGGGGGTCCATGGGGTCTGTATGGGGATGGGGGGGGTCCATGGGGTCCTTATGGGGCTGGGGGGGTCCATGGGGTCCTTATGGGGATGGGGGGTCCATGGGGTACTTAATGGGCTGGGGGGGTCCAAGGGGTGTGTATGGGGATGGGGGGGGTCCATGGGGCCTTATGGGGCTGGGGGGGTCCATGGGGCTTATGGGGGGATGGGGGGGTCATGGGGTCATGGGGATGGGGGGTCCATGGGGTCCTTATGGGGATGGGGGGGTCCATGGGGTCCTTATGGGGCAGGGGGGGTCCATGGGGTCCTTATGGGGCTGGGGGGGGTCCATGGGGTCCTTATGGGGATGGGGGGGTCCATGGGGTCCTTATGGGGCAGGGGGGGTCCAAGGGGTCCTTATGGGGCTGGGGGGATCCATGGGGTCCTTATGGGGATGGGGGGGGTCCATGGGGTCCTTATGGGGCTGGGGGGGTCCATGGGGTCCTTATGGGGCTGGGGGGTCCATGGGGTCCTATGGGGCTGGGGGGTCCATGGGGTCCCTATGGGGCAGGGGGGGTCCATGGGGTCCTTATGGGGATGGGGGGTCCATGGGGTCCCTATGGGGCTGGGGGGGTCCCTATGGGGCTGGGGCTGGGTGGGTCCATGGGGTCCTTATGGGGATGGGGGGGGTCCATGGGGTCCCTATGGGGCTGGGGGGGGTCCATGGGGTCCTTAGGGGGCAGGGGGGGTCCATGGGGTCCCTATGGGTCAGGGGGAGTCCATGGGGTCCCTATGGGGCTGGGGTCCCTGCGGGCGCCCCTCACCCTGGTATCCGGGCGCCAGGAGCTGCCGGGGCCGCAGGCGCGGGTCCAGGCGCAGGCAGAGGCCGCTGCTGAGAACGTTCCGGTCACAGGAACGGGTGAGACCCGGGCCGCAGGCCTGGGGGAGGGGAGGGGTCAGGGGGGGCATGGGGGGAGGGGCGTGGGGGAGGGGTCGTGAAGGGGGCATGGGGGGAGGGGCAGGGGAGTGGGGTCATGAAGGTGGCGGGGGGGAGAGGTCATGGGGGGTCATGGGGGGAGGGGTCATGAAGGGGGCATGGGGGGAGGGGCGTGGGGGAGGGGTGGGGGGGGCATGGGGGAGGGGTGGGAGGTCATGGGGGGAGAGGTCATGGGGGAGGGGAGGGGGGAGGAAAAGTGCATGGGGGGAGGGGTGTGGGGGAGGGGTCATGAAGGGGGCATGGGGGGAGGGGTCATGGGGGGTCATGAAGGTGGCAGGGGGGGAGAGGTCATGGGGGGTCATGGGGGGAGAGAAGGGGCATGGGGGGAGGGGCGTGGGGGAGGGGTCGTGAAGGGGGCATGGGGGGGAGGGGCGTGGGGGAGGCGTCATGGGGGGGCATGGGGGGAGGGGCAGGGGAGTGGGGTCATGAAGGGGGCAGGGGGGGAGGGGTCGTGGGGGGGTCATGAAGGGGGCATGGGGGGAGGGGCGTGGGGGAGGGGTCATGGGGGGGGCATGGGGGGGAGGGGTCGTGGGGGGGTCATGGGGGGAGGGGTCATAAAGGGGGCATTGGGGGGAGGGGCGTGGGGGAGGGGTCATGGGGGGGCATGGGGGGAGAGGTGGTGGGGGGTCATGGGGGAGGGGGCATGGGGGGAGAGGGGGAAAAGTGCGTGGGGGGAGGGGTGTGGGGGAGGGGTCATGGGGGGGCAGGGGGGGAGGGGTCATGAAGGTGGCATGGGGGGAGGGGCGTGGGGGAGAGGTCATGAAGGGGGCATGGGGGGAGGGGTCATGGGGGGGTCATGAGGGGTCATGGGGGGAGGGGCGGGGGGGAGGGGTCATGGTGGGGTCATGAGGGGCCATGGGGGGGAGGGGCAGGGGATCCTAGGGGTGGGGACCCAGGGGTGAGGTCCTGGTGGCCCTGGGGGGAGGGGCCATGGGGGTGGGGCCTGGGGCAGGGCCTCGATCCTTCCCCTCCCCCCTGCCCCTCCCCCCCCCATCCCCGTTCTCACGATGGCGCCGTCTCCGTCCCTGGCCAAGGCCATTCCCATGTGGGTGCGGGAGCTGTTCCCTGCAGGGGGCACGGACCCTCAGTCCCGTCCCATCCCCCCCCATCCCCTCCCCATCCCCTCCCCATCCCCCCCACCCCCTCCCCATCCCCCCCATCCACCCCCATACCCCCCCCCCCCCCCCCCCCATCCCCACCCCCTCCCCATCCCCCCCATCCCCTCCCCATCCCCCCCCCATCTCTCCCATCCCCCATCCCCCATCTCCCCCCACCCCCTCCCCCATCTCCCCCATCCCCCCCCATCCCCCTCCCATCCCCCCCCATCCCACCCCCATCCCCCCCATCCCCCCCATTCCCCCGCCCCCCCATCCCCCCCATCCCCCCCCCCCCCCCCCCATCCCCCCCATCTCCACCTTCCAGCTCCAGCTCTTGGCATTCTCCGCTCCCCACTTGGCATTGGAAGAGCCGCCCCCTGCCCCCCACCTCTGCCGGGGCCCCCACCAGCAGCCTGTGGGGGGAGGGACCCACACCCCATGGGACCCACACATCCCATGGGCCCCACACATCCAGCCCCACACCCCATGGGACCCACACATCCAGCCCCACACATCCCATGGGACCCACACATCCAGCCCCCCACATCCCATGGGACCCACACATCCAGCCCCACACCCCATGGGACCCACACATCCAGCCCCACATCCCATGGGACCCACACATCCAGCCCCACATCCCATGGAACACACACATCCAGCCCCCCACATCCCATGGGACCCACACATCCAGCCCCACATCCCATGGGACCCACACATCCAGCCCCAAATCCCATGGGACCCACACATCCAGCCCCACACCCCATGGGACCCACACATCCAGCCCCACACATCCCCTGGGACCCACACATCCAGCCCCACATCCCCTGGGACCCACACATCCAGCCCCCCACACCCCATGGGACCCACACATCCAGCCCCCCACATCCCATGGGACCCACACATCCAGCCTCACACCCCATGGGACACACACATCCCATGGGACCCACACATCCCATGGGACCCACACATCCAGCCCCACACATCCCATGGGACCCACACATCCAGCCCCACATCCCATGGGACCCACACATCCAGCCCCACACATCCCATGGGACCCACACATCCAGCCCCACATCCCATGGGACCCACACATCCAGCCCCACACATCCCATGGGACCCACACATCCAGCCCCACACATCCCATGGGACCCACACATCCAGCCCCACACATCCCATGGGACCCACACATCCAGCCCCCCACATCCCATGGGACCCACACATCCAGCCCCACATCCCATGGGCCCCACACATCCAGCCCCAAACCCCATGGGACCCACACATCCAGCCCCCCACATCCCATGGGACCCACACATCCAGCCCCACATCCCATGGGTCCCACACATCCAGCCCCCCACATCCCATGGGCCCCACACATCCAGCCCCACACCCCATGGGACCCACACATCCAGCCCCACACCCCATGGGACCCACACATCCAGCCCCACATCCCATGGGACCCACACATCCAGCCCCCCACATCCCATGGGACCTACACATCCAGCCCCACACCCCATGGGACCCACACATCCAGCCCCACACCCCATGGGACCCACACATCCAGCCCCAAACCCCATGGGACCCACACATCCAGCCCCACATCCCCTGGGACCCACACATCCAGCCCCCCACATCCCATGGGACCCACACATCCTGCCCCCCACATCCCATGGGACCCACACATCCAGCCCCACACCCCTTGGGCCCCACACATCCAGCCTCACATCCCATGGGACCCACACATCCAGCCCCACATCCCATGGGCCCCACACATCCAGCCCCACACCCCATGGGACCCACACATCCAGCCCCACACCCCATGGGACCCACACATCCAGCCCCACATCCCATGGGACCCACACATCCAGCCCCACATCCCATGGGACCCACACATCCAGCCCCACACCCCATGGGACCCACACATCCAGCCCCAAACCCCATGGGACCCACACATCCAGCCCCACATCCCATGGGACCCACACATCCAGCCCCCCCACATCCCATGGGACCCACACATCCAGCCCCAAACCCCATGGGACCCACACATCCAGCCCCACATCCCATGGGACCCACAGGAATTCACCCCACATCCCATGGGAAACCCATATCCAATTCTGGGACCCACATCCCATGGGCCCCACACATCCAGCCCCACATCCCATGGGCCCCACACATCCAGCCCCCCACACCCCATGGGACACACACATCCAGCCCCACACCCCATGGGACCCACACATCCAGCCCCACATCCCATGGGACCCACACATCCAGCCCCACACAACATGGGACCCACACATCCAGCCCCACATCCCATGGGACCCACACATCCAGCCCCACATCTCCTACCGGGACCCATTGAGCTGCAGCACTTGGTGCCCGAAGCTGCGGGCACCTCTGTGGGTCAGGATGCGATGTGGGGCTGGGTGGATGTTGAAGGCCTGGCTGTGGGGCAGCGCTGTGGGGCAGAGCAGGGGTGGAGGAGGGGCAAAGGGCACCACCCAGCCCCACGGCAGGACCGGGCCACCATTTCCTTCCACAGAGCACCAGGGCTCCTCCCCATTGCAGGCAGTGGCCCCTAACCCTGCCCCATAGCACACAGGAGCCCCCCATCCCTGTCCTATAGCACGCAGGAGCCCCCCCATCCCTGTCCTATAGCACGCAGGAGCCCCCCATCCCTGTCCTATAGCACATAGGAGCCCCCATCCCTGCCCCATAGCAGGCAGGAGCCCCCCCATCCCTGCCCCATCGCACGCAGGAGCCCCCCCATCCCTGCCCCATAGCACGCAGGAGTCCCCCATCCCTGGCCCATTGCAGGCAGGAGCCCCCCCATCCCTGCCCCATAGCACGCAGGAGCCCCCCCATCCCTGCCCCATATCCCCCCCATCCCTGCCCCATATCCCAGAGCATCCCTGCCCCATATCCCCCCCATCCCTGCCCCATCGCACACTGTAGCCACCCCCGCCCTGCCCCATAGCACGCAGGAGCCCCCCCATCCCTGCCCCACTGCAGGCAGGAGCCCCCATCCCTGCCCCATAGCACGCAGGAGCCCCCATCCCTGCCCCATAGCACACAGAAGCCCCCCCCCTCCCTGCCCCATAGCACGCAGGAGCCCCCCATCCCTGCCCCATTGCAGGCAGGAGCCCCCATCCCTGCCCCATAGCACACAGGAGCCCCCCATCCCTGCCCCACTGCAGGCCGTGGCCTCCATCCCTGCCCCACTGCAGGCAGTGGCCTCCATCCCTGCCCCATAGCACACAGGAGCCCCCCATCCCTGCCCCATTGCACGCAGGAGCCCCCCCATCCCTGCCCCATAGCACGCAGGAGGCCCCATCCCTGCCCCACTGCAGGCAGCAGCCGCCATCCCTGCCCCACTGCAGGCCGTGGCCCCATCCCTGCCCCACTGCAGGCCGTGGCCCCATCCCTGCCCCATAGCTCACAGGAGCCCCCATCCCTGCCCCACTGCAGGCCGTGGCCCCAGCCCTGCCCCATAGCTCACAGGAGCCCCCATCCCTGCCCCACTGCAGGCAGTGGCCCCATCCCTGCCCCACTGCAGGCAGTGGCCCCATCCCTGCCCCATAGCTCCCAGGAGCCCCCATCCCTGCCCCACTGCAGGCAGGAGCCGCCATCCCTGCCCCACTGCAGGCAGTGGCCCCATCCCTGCCCCATAGCTCCCAGGAGCCCCCATCCCTGCCCCATAGCTCCCAGGAGCCCCCATCCCTGCCCCATAGCTCCCAGGAGCCCCCTTGACCCCCCCGTACCGGCCACCAGCGCCCCAATGACCGCGATGACGCCGCCCGCGGGGGCCATTGCGGGAGCCCCACGTGCTCCCCTCCCCCCCCGGCTTCCTTCCTGCCCCTCCCCCACGCGGGGTGCTGCAGTGGGGGAGGGGCAGGGCAAGACCGGAGCCGGGGTGGGGGGGGAAGGGATGGGATGGGGATGGGGATGGGATGGGATGGGGATGGGATGGGATGGGATGG